CGTGTGTGGGCTGCAGCACAGCCAATCAGATTAACCAGATTTTGTTAACAAAACCTCATGAAGTATGTTGAACATACAACAAGAGAGTCAAAGACAGACACTAAATGAGTTTGAAAAACATTTAGTAAACCAGCTGCTGTTCTTTGACCCTTGGAAGGTCAAGCCTGGATCTAAAACAGTTTTAATGGCCGACAGTTGCCTTATTGTGATAGTATGAAACTGGAAATTTTTGAGGCGCCGCATACGCCATGGAGACAGGATGAGACGGTTATCCGCTTAATCTTCATAACTGCAGATTTGAGATGAATGACTGAATTCATTGAAAGTTGATGTTTCAAAGCTAACAAAGACAATTGAAGCACATGGATATATGTAAAAACGTCTGGATCGTCGTGGCAACAACCGTGATTGATCCCTTCCTTAAAACCAGGAGATGTAAAGGAGGAGTAAAGAGGAGCATAAAGCTGTTTTATCCAACATCAGTTTCAGCTGGAATTCCCCTTTAAGCTCCTCTGAGGCCGTCTGTGTGTTTTGGTGCAGCAGCAGATCAATGCAGGATGAATGGAGGGAGGGGACGACAAGTTCAGAAACACAGCTCACATTTCAAAGCAGCAAAGCAGCACAGACGTCTGAAGTACATGAAAACACGCAGACAGACGTCAGAGGAGCGTCCGCTGGAGACAACATTCAGTCCCTTCCATAGAGACACTGGACCCAGGGTGTCCAGACATCTAATATAGATGGAATGATTGATTCCAGGTTTAACAATTGAAGAGTTGCAACAACTCCTGGGACTCCTCTCTGCATCACTTTAGTGTTTGACCAAAAGCAGAAGCTCAGTCACGAACTGAGACTTGATTCCAAATATGGCAGCAAATTCACATTGGAAAAAGAAAACAATTAAGGGGTTGCAATGGCCTAGTCAAAGTCCAGATCTCAGCTTGATCAAAGTGTTGTGACGGTAGATTAAAGGCTGTCCCATACTTTATCCTGTGCACATCAAGGCAGTCTCAAATTGGACATCCGACTGACTATGTTTTCCACCAAGAATCGTTTCTGACACAGACATTGTGTGTAGAAGCACAGAGCAACCATTGGCGAGGACGCAGGAGCGCACTGACCGCTGTGTGGTGGGTTGATGCTTGTTAATGAGGAATTTAATAAGGAATATTAGCTCTTCCTCTTATTCTGATCACATAATGGCAGAAGTGAAATGTAGAAATCTGACAAAATAATGTTTTGGAAGCGGGACGCTCACCTTTATAATCTCAAATGTTAAAGTTTGCTATGCAGAATGCCTTATGGCTCACAGTTAGCGCAAAGAAAGCTTGTCTGGGGATGAGACTTGCAGAAAAAAATGTCTACCAATCTCTAGGAGCCACGACTGAACAGGGAAAGAGAAGTTCCTGAATCAGAGCAGCTCTCTGGAAATCAGACATACAGAATGTTATCTGCTTCCTTCAGCTGCTGGGTAACCTAGCAACCAGAGACTCAACAATGGCCAATTTAAAACATTTTCTTTTCTCATTTTAACTTTCACACATAGGTTATTAATTACAATCTCCACTAGAAGCTGGAACTGTGTGTAATTCCCACCACACCACTAGTTGGCAGTATGCACAACTCTCTGATCCAACATTACTTCTGTTGATACCTTGGTCTGCCACCAGCTTTCCCTGTTTGGTGTCCTTGCTGTGGGATGTGCGTGTTCCTTTCTACTGAGTTCAGTCATACTTTGCATGTCCCAGAGACAGGATGGCTCCCTTTATCCCATCACCATGACAACAGACAATCAACAAACTTTGGGCAGGAGCGGAGTTTCAATTATAAAGTCTCTGACTACTCATAGAGTGTGAGATCATCAAACTCCTACTAAACATTTAGATTGGAGTAAAATCAAAGGTGTTTTTTGGTCATAAGCTGTTTAATGCATTAAGGTGAACATAGTTGAGCGTGTTTGAGAGGTGAGCCTTTAAAAGATTAAGAGGAATAAAGCTGGAAAAACGTAGCTGATCTCCAATCAGTCCATGGCAGAAAATCGGAACATTGGGGTCCAGAACCGAGGGCCATTTCTGGCTAAAAAAAAGCCTTTTGGAGCCACTAAAGCTACACAACTCTTTAAAATAAAGGAGTTTGCTTTAATAATCCTTCACAGAGAAAAATGATTAAGATTTATTAATTTAAGAACAGATGTTATCCATTTTTTCTATTTAACAATTATAGAAAATTATGTCAAAAAAGCTCATAGCTGTAATCATTTAATACATTTTAACCACATAAAAGGAGTTTTCTTTAGTCTATTAATTTTATAATATAACACATACATGGCATTAAAATTATTTTGAATTCCTGCCAACGGCAGCATCTTTAATCATCATTACAACAATATTCTTCAGCATATGTGACCAAAGTTAGTGAAACCTGCAGACGAACGTCTAAAGTCACAGGTTGCACGTCTCTGGTGAGTTTTATTGTCAGTTCACTATCAGGGGGAAATTAATGGGAATAAATCTGATTACTTTCAGAATAATTCAGTAAAAAAGAAACTCCAGGATTTTATTATTTTATTCCTGAGGCAAATTTAAAAAGAGACATTAGGGAACAAAAAAAAGTCGAATTAAGGGGAATCAAACTATCTAAAAATATTAATGCAAGAACTGGGAGGAAGAAATTAGACCATTAATAATAGAGAAGCAGCAGCTGAACGGTGGATCTACTGACTGTCAGCAGGAGGTTTAAAGGTTTAGAGCCTTTTAAAAACAAACTTTGATTGGTTTGTTAAAACGCCTCTTTTTTCCTCACTTTCAGACGTACATTTCTTTCTGGAAGCTTTAATCGGATTTCTGATTTAGAAATGTTTACTGGTGGACCAGTGGATGGTCTGAAAGATTAGGACTGACAGAGGAACCGACAGGATCAATACCACTAAACAGGAAGTGGACTCAGCAGATGGACCCTATCAACTATATTAGAGCAAGACCTCCAAGGTGGGACTAGATGGTCCTGGACTGATGCAGGCTGGGCTTCCTGCTCTAACTCTGGTCCTTCATGCTGAGAGCAGAGTGTGATGCAGAGCTCCTACCTGTGCACGGCCTCCAGCTCTGACCTCGGACTAACGAGGCGAGCAGTGCCAAGGTCACCAGCAGGGGGCGACACACCAACATCACGCCTTCTTTAGCAGCTGGGATTAACTCTGCTCTGCTTCATGCAGCATCACCGGTGAGGAAGAGGATGATTGAGGATGAAGAACTGATCTACAGACCTGAGAAGAAAAAAAAAAAAAGTTAATAATCAAAGTGACAGAAAAGCTGGGAATGTTTTCAGCCAATCAGAAAGCCTGGGCTAGCCTCTCAGGTCATAGAACGAATCAGATGGATCACAGAACCAGCAGAACAAAAACATCCAGCCGCCTCCATCAGAGGGAAACCTGGACACGTCTGCCTGAGGCTGATCTGGTTCACTCATCAGGGACTCGGTTCAACATCACCGCTGCGTTTGTCATGGCGGGTTCGTCACTTTCTTCTCCCACTGACCTCCGTTTACAAATCTACTCTTAACTACATGTTTATGTTTACATGTGTGTAGAAACCTTATTGAAATGACCTGCTTCCTGGGGACATCATCCTGATAAAGGTCCAAAGACTCTGAACTAAACTGGGAAAAACGTTTTTTAATTTTTCTATCAACTTAAACAGAACCAAAGATTTTCATCTCTGAGGCGATTAAAACATTTTATGACTTACAGCGAAAGGCATGACTGGTTGATGTGACTGACTTTATAAACTGTTATCTTGCTATCTGATGCTTTCATATGTATATTTCTCTTTTATTTTCTATTAATTTCTTAATCATTTTTTTTCTGTTTAAATAAAATAATCTGCATCAGTGGTCATAATATAATGCCTAATTACTCCATGTCATTTATAATGTAATATGATCCAGATTATATTGTCTGTTTAGTTCTTGGTTTAACCCAAAGCAATCTAATTATATCCTCAGTAAATTAATCTGTTCTGTTCAGATGTTCTGGTTTCAGATTAACTGAATAAATGTTTAAATGACAAAATTAGCCTAAAAGTTTCAGATTTAAAACTACTAGGATTTTTCATATTCAACTATCTGTTAGAACTCTATAGCCACCAGCAGCCCATCACTTGGGATAAAGCGTGTCAGAAAACTGATGGATGGATGTTAGAACTTTTCATCTACAGACCTTAAATGTTCTGATCAGGATCTTTCTGACTTTTAATAACTTTCCAGAACCTGAATTCATTTAACCTTCAAGCAGGAAAACCAACATTTAAAGCCTGTAATAGATCACTGCTTTATTTGATTTTGTCTTTTCAGGTTTTTACAGCGGATCACATAAACAAACATTCCTCCAGTGTCCTTATAGAAAAATATTTACCAAAATGCATTTATATATGTCCAAAAGTACCAGAGGAACCTTAAGAGTGAAAGTAGTGATTCAATATAAATCCCTCTGGGCTTTAGTCTCCAACTCCAGCTTGTCAGAGTCACAAACTCCTGCTCTACCGCACTGGATTGATGGCTGCATATTTATTGCGCTTTTTAATGCAGTATAAATGTTTCCTGACTGTCAAACTGTGGTATAAATAAATCTCTGTTCAGTTTATTTTAATCCAGGGATTCTCTCACCAGTCTAAATAATCCAGGGTCTAAACCACAGACTACATGTAATCCAGAAACCTAAAAAAACAGCCTTTAATGATCATGAGTAATTAACTGTAAACTTTTAAATCCTCAGTCTTTTAAAGTGTACAGAAATATTGAGTTTCTACATTTACAGATACATTTAAAACTGTTTCAAATTTCCATTTTATTATTTTCCAGCCGCTCCGCCATATTTGGTGCCCTGGGCAGAGAGCCGCATCGCTCTTATTGTGTGTTCCATACAGGCAGCATGTATGTTTAGATGTTTAACTGTTACGAAATATACTTTCAATGTTTTCCTGTTTGGATTTGAAGTAGAAACTTGATTCTAGAGTTTATTCTACAAAACAGCAGTTTTAATATAAATCAAAAATAAAAATTATTAGATATTTTAACCTTCAGTAAAAGATTTATTGTCCAAACTATAAAGCTCACAGCCGATATGTTGTTATTTTAAATTTTTTAACCTGTAAAAGTTTGATAATGGAAAAATAAATCTTTTATCTCTTAAGAGAAGAAAACTAAAAAAAATGTAAGAGATATAGAAAAAGAACTGAAATAATTCTGATTTATGGCTGATTGGAGGGATTCAAGTTTTATTTCTCAAACATAAAATCAAACCTGGTTGAAGGAGGCGACTGAGGTCCGGTTCTGGATCAGCAGAAGTCCAAACATTTCTGAATCCTTTCCAGAAATGTTCTGCCTTCAGTCCAACAGAAAAGATTCACTTATTTTCCTTTTAAAATGTATTTTCCTTTTTTTTTTTGGTGTTGAACTAATTTCTAAAAAGGTCCAAAACAGTTTCAGATCCTCAGAGATCCAAACTGAAGCAGCTCCTCTCCAAGCAGCAGTCAGAACCAGGCTGATCCATCTTCTTTAAAATCCCTGCTCTTCATCCACCTGCTGCTCACAGACAGAAAGCTTTACCTGCAGCGGAGCAGCTCACACCACCCATTTAAATAGACAGGAGAGGGAGGGGCAGCGGGGAGGAGGAACACCTGAACACACCTGGGGAACAAACATGTCAGCTCAGTGATCCAGCTGCCTGAACACACCTGAGCAGAACCAGCAGATGGAGATGATTGGATTTACAGTCGGAACCAATAAACACTCACAGCTGATTCTGATTCTTCTGTTTCACTGTGAAAAAATAGGTTTTAATTAAAAACTGGAGCTGGTGTGAGTTGCTAATATTAATATTCGGTGATATTTGTTTATTTTCAGCCTTTTAATGAGTCCAAACATGGCAGCATGTTCAGAGACCTAAAAAAAAAAAACCTTCAAGGCTTTTAGAGGCGATTCCCAGATTGTCTGGTTAGTTGGTTGGTTGGCTGCCATAAATGCCAAAAATACGTTTTATTTCTGAACTTCACCGTTTTATATAAATGAAAGCCATTCTGCATTTTCAGGTCATTCTGGGAATTCTTATTTTCCAGTTGGAAGTTTTCCAGCATAACAAGGTGTTTAAATTTACTTTTTTTTTAAAAGACCTTGATAAATAGCTTGTCTGGATTCAGATAAAGAAATATGTAGATTTAAGTTGAACCACTGAACAGCTTCGTCTTTCTAATGTTACATCTCAGCATCATCTGCATGTAGGATCATTACATCATTGCAGAGCCCAGCAGCCACAGGGGTCCCAGTATGCATCCTTGTAGTACTCCAGAGGACAGACCTTAAACACGTTATATGACTTCACTGTAACTAAAATATGTTATAAAATCATTACTACCAGTGATCAAAACATCTTTATCCCAGGATGATCAGCTGATTGGTTGGTTTTTCAGGTGCTATTAAATAATAATTGAACTTTATTGACAACACATTGGAGAACCTCTGCATATTAACCCATCCCTTTGGGGAGCAGTGGGCTGCCATCATGGGGCACCCGGGGGGGCAATCGGAGGTTAAGGTTCTGGCTCAGAGAGCAACAGTGGCAGTCTGTGGGAGTGGGTTTTGAACACACAACCTCAGGAATCCAAGCTGTATGCCCCAACCACTAGGCCGTCACTCCCCTTGGAGCGGACATAATTAAAACACTGCTTCATAACAGCTGCCATTAGGACTACTACAGAATGGCTACAGAGTATAACACTGGTGCATTATGGGTAATTATGGAGGTAAGAGTCAACTCCCCCCTCCTGTGATCAAACAGGTACATTAAACACTGGAGGGTCTGAGCATGCCCAGAGAGGCACCTACTGTACAGGCGTCATTTTCACAATACAGATCAAAAGTTGACCAATTGGGCCAAAGGGTTTTATCTGTTTTGTTAAATTATTCTACTGAAGAATCAATTCAAAGTTTTATTTTCTGACCTCTAACTGCAATTTGTAAAGAAGTTTAAATCCTCTTCTTTCTTTGCTTGATCAGCACATTCTGTACCCACACTGATAAACTACCGTATGTAATAAATACAGCCTCAGGCTTGCTGGTCAGACTGCTGCCCCCTGCTGGCTACGGGATATAATGCATGTATAAATACTGCCCCCTGGTGGCAGTTACACAGCCAGCAGCTTTAAATCTGCACCTCTTTGCAAACATGAGATCCAGAGCGTGTCTATACGTGTCTGCCAGAGGCCCCGGGGCCTTGAAACCTGCTGTCTCTGCTCGCTTGTTTACGTCACATGATTGAGGGGCTGCAGCATGAAACCCTCAGGAACGATAAACTCAATCCCTGGGATGAAGAAAGAGAAACAGGCTGGGTGAAAAAAAAACGGTGAGCAGCAGCTGATCTGAAGTCTGTCCAACAGAGAAATCCCCCATGTGAGCAAAAGCTCCGCCCCCTCACCTGTCAGACACTCGTACAGGTGTGTGATGTCTGAACTGGGAAACCGTTCGAAGCAGCTGTGATGTCAGATCTTTAAATCCCAGTAATCCCAGTTCAAACATGGAGGGGGATCCAGTCTAGCAGGCAGAAACACGACTGAACTCTGAGACCTTCAGTCACTTTATAAACTGATGGAGAATCATTAGATTCTGCTAATAACCAAACTAAGGAGTCCAGATTAAAACCAGAATCCTAATCTGAAAAAATCCCACAAATATTCCACCATGGAGAGAAAATTATTTATTAGATAAATAAAGTTGCGATCCTGAAACAGACACGTCGCTTTATTAAGTTCAACATGCTTTAAAACCAGTTTGACAGCAGAACCAGAGTGAAGCTGTTAGATTAATCCAGATTAATCAGGAGGCAGAGAAACGAGGATTTTAATCTGGTTTTAATGAACGACTGATGAGAAGAAAAACCCAGAGAAACTATTTCAGCCCTGATCCTGCAGTTCAACAGGCCGACCTCCAGGGGGAGATAAAGTGCAAACAGTCCGCTGAGAGACGTCGATCTGAAGACACCAAGACAGAGAGGTTAGGGGGGGCAAACAGGAAGTGACATCATGACAGGGACGTTGGTCCTCCTGGTAACAACTGATCGACACCAGATGCATCAGTTCGTTGATCCGTCCGACAGCAGCTATGTGTGTGTGTGGTTTCCATGGTAACGCGTTGGTGCTCCACAGTCTGTATCCCAACTGCACACACAGAGCGGCGTGATGACATCATCACTACAGGCCCAGCGACTTGCGGACGATCTTCTGGGCCAGTTTGTAGAACTGCTCCCTGTCCTCTCGCCACATCTTGGAGGCGTCGACGTTTGCGCCGCTCTCGTCGTTGGGCTCTGGGAGGAAGAGGAGCAGAGAGGAAGGTTAATCCCGTCCCGTGATGTTTGGGGCGTTCCGGCCACCAGGTGCGCTCCTCTAACCTGCCAGCATGCTGACCACAGACAGCAGGATCTTCTCCACGCTCTGGACCGGGCTCCACCGCTCGGCGCTGCTCTCGTAGCCCATGGGGTCGTCACCCGGAGCGTGGAGGATGGAGATGCAGACCCGACCGTCTGGGTAGACTGGATGGAGAGGAAGGAGCAGAACTTTGGTTCAGAAACACGATCAAAGACTTTTATTTTGAAAGGGACGGATTTCAGAGCTTGGTTCTGCTTTAATAATAATAATTATTTAACTTTATTGATCGCAGATGGGAGAAATTTATCTCTGCATTTAACCCATCCCCATGGGGAGCAGTGGGCTGCTATTGTGCGGCGCCCAGGGAGCAGTGTGGGGTTAAGGGGCTTTGCTCAGAGACTCAGAGTGGCAGTCTGTGGGAGTGGGGCTCTGGATTCCAAGCTCTATGCCCTAACCACTAGGCCGCCACTCCACTGGTTGTGGGAGGAGTGGCGGTATCTTAAGGTCTGAAGACACTGGTTATTTATGACTTTTTAATCTCCGATTTTATTCCGTCACACAGCGACTTGTATAGAGAGGCTCCGACCAGGCAGGGTGAGCAGATCTGCACAGATTATTTTCACCTGTCTCTGTTCTATAAACAAATTCTATTAAACAATTTCCCACATTTGACTTGGACAGATTATGAGAAGTTATTAAATATAAAGGAACCAATGGTGCATTCTATAAAGCAAAGATCTACTTAATGAGTCTGTATAGCATCTCAAACCAGATCAGATAGAGAATGTTCATATATTAAAAACAAAATGTGATCTACGTCTAAAGAAAGAAAAACACAGCAATAGACGGCATGGGACCGTTTCTATGGTGACCGAGGCAGAGAGAGATCTGGGAATTTTATATTTTTTTCCATAAAGAGGCGAGAGAGATTTGCTGACCTGCTCTGTCTGTCTGAGGATCAGCTACTTTATCCGCTTTCTGTCCTCCTGAACTCCCATCATGGGGAAAGTTTTCTTTTTTAATGTTTCATTCATTGTTTTTGCTCCAGTCTGTCCTGATCACTATAAACGTGATGTGTGACTCCAAATTGACGCTTTCTCTGTGTGATAAACCGATTTTATTCAGTGTTTTCCTCCAAAGCGGAGGTGTTTTACTTTGTAAGTGCATATCTCTTCCTGTCAGACCCATGAAAGCTGCTGAATTGCTGCGTAGCCTGAATAAAATAGACCTGGTATCTATCTCAGTCGGAGCTATGCTGTCCCCTGCAGGATATTGGTGTGATCCTCCGCTCTGACTTTCAATGAGAGCTAAACGTCACGACCTCTACGGCACGATTTTCTGTTCCTTTAAACTCCTCTGAGGTCGGTTCTGAGCTGGTTTCAGACGTTCTATCGTCATGTTTTATATCAGGTGAGGCAGAACTCAGAGCGAACCATCTGGAACATCGTTGTTCTGTCAGAGAAGCAGACCCGTAGTCAATACCCGTTTATTCCTTCAGTTTTGTACGAAAAAGACTTTAAACTACGTCCACGGGAGTGTGTCTCTTTAGTCATTTACCAAAAAAACGATTTAATTACTTACTTTTTGGTGTTTTTTGAAGCGTATGGCGATCTGACCTTAAATTGGTGTTTTTCT